TGGTGTTAGAAGAAAGAAATTATATTGGTGCATTGGTGCTCTACCATACTACTTCAGGTAGCTGGAGATTGGTGTTCTGGTTTCTTCTGGAATGCCACTTATCTCTTCTCAGACAAAGACAGTTGGTTTCATTTGCTTTTTCTTCTGTATGGATCATGCCCCATTTAGATTATTTGTTATAGGTGCTTTGCTTTTCAAAGTATAAAGCCTGATTTATTTAGTTTTACTGACATCTTGATTCCCTAAAATCATCTTTGCCTTTTTCTTTTATATAATATCATTTTGCTTCTTTTACTAATTGGATTTCATTTCAAAATCCTTGTGTCAGATTTTAACAAAAAGTTCCCATTTACAATAAACAAAAAGAAACCCCAAGATGTGCTGAGATGGCTGTTGAGACAGGGCATGGTGGAGTGCACATATAATCCCAGCACTTGGGAGGCTGTAAACAGGAAGATCACTAAGAGTCCAATCTATGCTGTGAGACCCTGTAGACCATATCTACCTTTCACACCCCTTCTCCCTGACATGCTCATGGAAATAATATTACTATTTTAAAATTTTTTGGACAACCAAGCCAATATCAGCAATCTAACACTGGATGTGACCATTGGTAACATCAAAGGAAATTAAGCTTCTGGCTCCCTTGCAGAAGACATGGGGAAGAAAGTCAAAACTAAGGAGCTCAGGGTGAGGTGCTGCTGCTCCTTAATGTTTCTTTTCTTTCTTTTACTTTTACTTATTTATTTATTTTTGTATTTTGGGGAAGAGTCTACAGGGTGTTTTGGGTCTCACTACTAGATTGGAATCATAGTGATCACCTGTTTACAGCCTCCCAAGAGTTGGGATTACAGACGCATTGGGATTACAGACGCACACCACCATACCCAGTCTCAACTGCCATCTCAGTGTGCCAGGGGCAGGGCACTACAAGCCCAGGGATAGAACCCCTGGCCCCTGTGCCTGTTTACAGGTGCTTCTTAATTTTCATAATCTATAGGTAAGAACTGTATTCATTCACACAAATCACATGACCTATTTTATATTTTCTACTATAAACTCTACAAATCATATGACACAGTGACTCTATTTCTCCTATGAGAAGGTAAAGAATATATTCAGAACAGCTCTGTACTCTGAGGTTTGTAATCAATATCCCATTTCATCTAAACTGCAACCACTTGTGCTGTATAAACAAATTGGAAGCCAGAATAAGGGACATCTCATTAAAGTGAACTTCAGTTTTAAGGAAGTGTTGGCTTTAAAATTGTTACAAAAATATCCTCAGAATAAGTATAGAGTCCTGGAGTTCAAATTGTAAATTAAGTGTTTCACACAAAAACTAATAAATGGTTACAGACCCCTCCAAAAAATATCCTCAGGGTTATTAGACGTGCCCATTATTAATGGCCTGCCTGAGTGAGTAGCATTACCTCTGTCGATCCTGTGAAGGCCACCTTGTCAATATCCATGTGGGAGGAGATGGCTGCCCCTGCGGTAGGCCCATAGCCAGGGACAATGTTCACCACTCCAGGGGGAAAACCTGCCTGGAAGGATGAAAAGCACAACTATTGTAACAGAACTTGGAATAATGGAAGAAAGAAGGGCATGGGATGGAGGCTGCTTCCTCAGGTTAACCATGTGAGCTCTACCATGAGCTTTTCAGTGAAGCAGCCTTGTTTATTATTATTATTATTATTATTATCATTATTATTTAATTTCTTGACCCATATAAAAGTAACCCAATGTTGGCAACATTAAGCTATGCTTTCTTCCCAGCTTAAGTTCATAGTTTAGTGGCGCATGGCTCTATTTCGGGCCGTCTCAAATTTTTCTATAGTAAATGAAGAAGATGGAATATCTCTACATGTTTGGTAAAATGTTTACACAGAAAGAAAGTATTATATTTATTATCCTGTTGCCCCAAAATGGAAAACTAAACAGCTTGACATTTTCAGGTTTCTAGCTTTTGGTTGCTTAAAGCTTAGGAGCTAAGTTGCAAAGCCCCAGTGACATTAGTTAGTCACTAAAATGTTAGGCAAGTGAAGATGTCCTGGGAGTTGGAAGTTCACCAACTGCCGTCAACTCCTGTACAAGCCAATGATGAGCCTGTTAAAATGACATGTTATTCACATTGCATTGATTCATTTTCTCATATTTTTGCCTATATTTAATGTGTCATGAAGAATATTTTTGAAGGTATGAGTGCAGATTTCCTGTATTGCAAGTTTCTAGAAACAAACAATTGCTTAAGTTTTGGTGCAACATGAAGAATGAAGGGTAATGAGTGATTTAAAAAAATACATATTCACACAATTAGGATAGTTCATGAAAATAAACTTTTGAAGAACAATGTTTATATAACACAGAAGTGAATATAGAGATATCCATTAATGAGAAAATATTTTAGAAAAAATATGGCCCAGTATTACAAACAAGCATATTGGCACAGTGAACACTAGCCTTCAGAGATTGATACTAAAATATGTTAAAGTTAAACAAATTTGAAAAACTACATGGCTGTTAGTGGTAGTTAGGAACTAGGGCAATATCCCAGCATTGAAAGGATGTTATATTAATTTCATTATGAATGTGTGTTCATGAAAGTGGGATAAAGGCACGAACATACTCAGTCACCAGGTGACTGACTCCAAGCTTCTGGGTGGCTTCCAGTCTGCATTTGGAGGAAGACTCAAGAGCACAGACTTCCCCAGATCCCAGCCACCAGCCCTGCTCGGGACAACCTCACTGCTCAATGGCACCTGTGAGCAGAAGGCAGCTGATAGTAGCCTTCATGAGGGCTTCCCATGCTGGCTAGGACTTTGGGATTCTCATGCAGCCCTGACCAGGAAGCTTACCTCTTTAATTAAAGATGCTACATGAAGAGCCGTGAGCGGAGTTTGCTCTGCGGGTTTGACGATCACCGTATTTCCACAGCTGAGGGCAGGTCCTATATTCCACACCAGCACGATCAATGGGAAGTTCCACTGGAAGGCAATATTCCACAGTGCATCTTTGCTTTGCTTAGAGGCACAGACATTAATGTAACTTTGACGTTGTGCAGCTCTTCCTTATGGTTGTTAAATAAAGGCTGCAGCAGTTTTGTATTCTCCTTAAGGTCATAGCACTTGATGATAACAATCAGAGGAGAGCAGATAGGAGGGATAAGAAGAGAGGGCTCCTGAATTTAATCAACTGTTGCTACTTTAAATTCTTCCTCTCCCAAGAACAAATCTCTGCCTGGTTTTGAATACCAACAAGTAATGTAGTGACTATTTTTCCTGTTAGAATAGAAATTCCAAATAACAGTACTTGATTTTAAAAATGATTTATTCTTTTTTCTGTCTAGGTCATTTTTTTATTTATTCACCAGTTTCAATTATTTGTGGTATAAATACCCTTTATGTGCTGCTGGGGTTCCAGCCCAGGGTCACATACCTTGGGCTTCGGTCCCCCACTGAGCTACCCCTCCATCCAGGACCAACAATGTTCTTAAAGAGAAAGATGAGAGGATGCAGAGGAGGAGAGCTCAGGCTCAGATCCAGGGCCAGCATCGAGTAGCCTTGTGAACCCTGACAAGTTCCTTATTCTCCATAAATGCTAATAAAATCCTCTTTTGCAGAAGATTGTGCTATGATGTATCATTTGTATTTAGGTTTTGGTGCTTTGAAGAAGTTAGTTGGATTTTTGAATGAATGCGCTATTTAATTTTAAAGGTTATATGTTTTCCTTTCAATCTCATGGAAACAAAAAATAAAACATTATCACTTTCTCTTTTAAGAACTTCCAAGCAGTGTAGTCTAGTTCAAAGTCTGACTTTTCTTGTCTTTCAGTTATGTTCAAATCATATCATTTTTGTTGGGCAAAATGGAAACCTCGCAAATTTTAACTGAAAATTCCATGTTTTTCATAGGAGAATTTCAACTATCATAGTCTCTTGTCTGAAGATATAATATATTCTGCTCAGTGTTCCAGATGCATCTATGTAATGTAAATTTACTATTTTATTTAAATTTTAGAAAACTCAGTGATAATATTATTGGCATTCCTCAAGACCAAGAGAAAATAATCATAAAATTCTTATGGAACTAGATGAGACAAAGAAGAGCAAAAGAATCCTGGGCAACAAGAGTAAAACACAGGTCATCACAAGCTTTTGATGCTTCAAGTTCTTACAAAACTACAGTGATAAAAACATGTGGTACTGACATGACAACAGACATGTGGATTAATGAAACATAATAGAGAATGCTGACTTGCACAAAGCACATTTAGGAATCGGATCTTTGACAGGGGAGTCAAAAATATAATTTGAAGGAAAGACAGCCTTTTACCAAATAATTTTGGGAAAATCAACCATCCACATGCAGAAGATTGAAGCAGAAAATATGTCTCTCATCATGCACTAAACTAAAATCAAAATTGGATCAAGAATGTAAAAATAGAAACAATCTATTAAAAGATAAAGTAGGTGAAACTCTTTAAGGCACAGGCATTGATAAGGACTCTCTGAACAGAAATGTCAACTGCATAAGAAATAGAATAAGGGTTTTAAAAAATGGCATTGTATCAAATTAAACACTTCACAGCAAAGGAAAAAATAGAGTTAAAAAACAATGTATACAATGGGAAAACATTTTTGTCAGCTACTTTTCTTAGAGCTAATCTATACAATAAAGAAGTTTTTAAAAAGAACATCCCAAAAAAATTCACTCCAGAAATGGGCAACTAAAAGACACTTTTCAGAAGTACAAGTAACTGATAAATGCATAAAAATAGTTCCATATCATCTTCCATTAGAGAAAGGCAAAAAGGTTTGAACAACACAGATAATCTACCTTATTCCAGAAAGAATGGCTGTCACTAGGAAATTAAATAATAGCAAATGCTGGTACAACTATGGAAAAATGAGTCCCTCTAAATTGTCTCTGGGAAAATAAACTGGAATAACGACTATGCAAATCAATATGGAGATTTCTCAAAATACTAAAAGTAGAAATTCCATTTGACCAAAGTATTACTCTTTTTTTTTCCAAAATTTTATTGATAAACAGATAGCAATGAGACAGTTTCAAATCAAATCGGAA